ATCCTGCGACACACTTAGGCTCAAGCTGTAAGAGAAAATTCCAATTAGTAGAGAAATTAATTTGAAAAATTACCTTGACGTTCCGATAGCTATTTGCTGCTATCGTTATCAAAAGAACCTAAATGAACCTAAAAAAGAGTATGTTAATAAATTGTGTAACAATTTTAATTTTATTTATTAATGAATTAATTTAATTTTCAATTTACACAGACGAATTATCAGAGCGAATTTTTATATACTGTATTATCCTACTATTGTTACACAATTTATTAACATACTGTTTTTAGGTTCATTCAGGTTCTTTTGATAACGATAGCAGAAAATAGCTATCGAAACGTCAAGGTAATTTTTCAAATTAATTTCTCTACTAATTGGAATTTTCTCTTACAGCTTGAGCCTAAGTGTGTCGCAGGATACCCTCTACGTGATAGTTCTTGATTACTTTTTGATAAATAATTCGTTCTTAGTGCGAAATAGGAGCACTATTTATCAATCTGTAATAAAAGACGTGAGGAAATTCTGGCTTTTTTAAAAACAAACATTTTTGAGGCGAAGTACCCAAAAAGCAGTTTGTAAAAAAATGAATCCGCCTCAACAATATAGAACTTATCTACAAGTTATCTTCATGTCACAGTCTCTTAGCGGAGTGTGCGAAACGCACCATTGGAGACATTTTTCCTAAATCCGTAATGTTAATTTTACTATTGGGCTTCCTACCTTGCGGTTGGTGCGTTTAGAATGTGGGAAGCGCCATAAACGCAGCCTTTTCCTAAACTCCATGAGCCGGACAATGGTTGTAAACCTTATACAACTAAACTGACATAATAAGCCGATATAATAATGTAAATCCAGGCTTTCCTTTTACCAGTCACCGATTAGATATTAGAAGATTAAGCACTGTAGCGATTAAGATTAAAGTTTAGGGGAAAGTAGATGCTAATAACAAACCTCTTTACTGGATTTGCTTCCATGCTTCTGATGATCGCCCAGGATTAAGCTCAGCCGTCGTTTAAGTTTCATTTTCAGCAGCGAAAAAAATCGGAGCAAACTTTTACATCGCCGTGTTGGGACGCACTGATAAATACGCCTGATGAATTGTTGTTTGAAAGTTAAGACACACCCGTACAAAGCAGTTGCATATGCAGAACGCGCTTATTTACATTGCGATTATACAACGAATTCCAGCGGTTAAAAATGAGTTTAACGAAAATACATGCACTTAGATGGAATTTCGGTTGCACTGCGAGAACAAAAACGTGCGAGACTGATTACACGTAGTAAAATCTGATGATAATAGTTTAAAAGTAGCTTCGTCACATAACACTCTCTCACGATATTGGTATTGTTCCGCATTTTGTCAGTAGCAGCTGTTATACAGGGTCTGATTCTAAATGGCTTTTCTTTCAGAAGATGCACTCAGATTTTTTGCTGAAGTTCAAAGTCTTCTAACTTTTATACCGATTATACAACGTGATCGATGATGATTTCAGTTTTGACCCATAATCAATGAAATTATTGATAAACGTACAAACTTTTTCTATATTGATTGATTCGCTGTGAATCAAGAAATATTTTATTGAGGTTTCTGCATGTTCTTGCTCTAATTTGGTGACATTGTCCGTGAAGAATTAATAATTTCATCAAAATTTCATATTAAATTTTCGACTAATTATGCTAAATCAGAATCAAATATTTTTTATCTGCGCGAAAATTGTCAAATTACGATAAATATGTTCAATTCCGATTTTATCAGAAACTGGGTTTGACCTTAATTTTTTTTAAATCAACTTTTGCTCGAAAACCGTTGGAGATGCTTATAGAGTGTATTGGAGAAAAACTTTAGGAAGGTAATTGGGAATCCAAAAACGGTATTATACAGGGTGTCCCGTAAGTTCATGATCAAAAGGGTACTGCCATATTCTTTGGATCAAAAGAAGACGATCCGACCTAACTTTTATTAACAAAAAATGTGTGGCTCCTATGCTATTGATGGTCGAAGTTCTTCAAAAAATTGATCTATTTTGAAATATCGGGAGAATGGTACGATGTATTTTGGTGAAACTCGCTGTGAATTTGTTCTTATGTAAAGTTCATATTTTGACGAAACAATCGAGTTCAGCCGTTTTGGACAAGTGGTGAATTCTTGAGTGTCGTGGTACAAAAACTACCAGAACTTTTTAGTTGGTGGATGAAATCAATTCAGTTTTTTCGGTTCATGCACTAATCATTTATGGACAATTTTGTGCCCTTTGTAAAATCTTGTAACTTTCGTAGTGTTTGCGAAAAAAAATTTTCTGTTTCCTTGCCACTTAACAATATTAGACATTAACTGCAAATATCGTGATACGAGGCATAAATTAACTGTCAATCAATGAAAAAGTGACCGAAAGCGTACGCGTTTACGCGGCGCATATTTGCAGTTAATGTCTAACATTGTTAAGTGGCAAGAAAACAGACATATTGTTGTTGCGCAAAAACTATGAATGTTACAAGATTTTACAAAGAGCACAAAATTGTTGATAAATGATTAGTGCATCAACCGAAAAAAACTGAGTTGATTTCATGCACCAACTAAAAAATTCTGTTAGGTTTTGTACCACGACACTCAAGAATTCATCACTTGTCCAAAACGGCAGAACTCGGTTGATTCATCAAAATATGAGTCTTACATAAGAACAAATTCACATCGAGTTTCACCAAAATACATCGTACTATTCTACCGATATTTCAAAAATAATCTATTTTTTGAAGAACTTTGACCATCAATAACAAAAGAGCCAGACTTTTTTGTTAATAAAAGTTAGGCCAGATCGTCTTCTTTCGATCATAAGCCTGTATAGAGGGTCTCCCATTTGAAATAACAAAGCTCATCATTCTTTCTCGTATAAGAGGCAACACTGCATTCCTGAAAATATTTTAAGTCGTTAGGAGCACGGTAGATTATAGAAGAAGCCAAATTTTTTTTTTGCGTATAAGTCTAGCGTCCTATCAAACGTGAGCCACCCTGTATAGTTGATCGATTTATTTTTTTTTTAATTTGTAGCCTAATTCTTCTTCTATTATCTCAAGGATAAGAAATGTTAGTTGTTTAGTTTCGCCGGCAACTAATGAAGAAAACATCGAGCCATGGCTTACATATTTTTTTCAAACACCCTGTGCGTTATCGTTTTACTTGAAACCAAAATGCAATCGCTGATTTGGAAACTGCGCCTTTTTGACAACGTTTACTTTTTTAATCATGGATTTATCTTAAAAATCAACAGAATTACAGCGTATTTACTGCTACTACTTTTCATGAAGCTTAAAAATACAATACACAGGATGTTTCAAAAAGTAAGCCCGTCCTTTAACGGCTCGTTCCTTAAGCGCAAAATGAATACGAGTTTCATATAATATTTCATTTTCCAATTTGGGCCACCGAGTTCGATATACAGGGTATCATAGCTTAAATGATATTTTAAGTAATAAATATTGCATGCATGTTGGTCACGTTCTATTTTGTGGTGTTCGGTACAGAGCAAGTTATTCCCTGTGAAAATAACTTTTTTATGCTAAAACCGAACTCCAAATATACAGGGTGCCCAAAATTAATGGCATGTATACAAGAAAATTACAGATTTTTTGAGTGAAACTGAGAATTCAACACAACTTACCTTCGTGGAAAAGTTGAGTGTTGTCTACATACAGGGCGTCAAAATGAGATTTGTATTTAAGTTTTTTGATAGTCTACTTTGAAAGCAGCTGAGTATTTTAATGAAATTTCGTACCCAGGGATTTGTGAGCATAAGCAATCCAAATCTGCCATGAGATTTTGACCGACGCGTAGGAAAATCCAAACCAAAGGCCATACTTGAACATTGATAGACCTTTTTTGGTCACCTTGTATATCGCCTTTAAAAATCGCTAGCTTTGGGCGCTAATTGTACACAAAAAAGGTATTTTTAGTCGATGTCTCAACAAGCCTCCGTTTCCGAGATATTTACGATTAAACCGCCAAATGCAGTATTTACAAAAGCTAAAGGGCTTAAGATTTTTTGATTCCAAATATCTCGGAATCGAATGCTTGTTGGGACATCGACTAAGAATACTTTTTTATGTACAATTAATAGGCAAGTAAACCTAGACAATTTAACGGTCGATATACAGGGTGACCAAAAATATATGGTCATTTTCTTGCCCAGATATCGCCGTAGGTCGCTTTTCCTACAAGTTTTTAAAATCAGATGGCACATTTGCACTTATGCTCGAAAAAAAGTATACAAACTTTTGTTAAAATATGTATGTGTCCCCCTTCACAGTAGAATAAAGAAAACTGACATAAAATTGTAAATCAAAATTAATTCCTGGGTTTCAGTCATTTATTGTCTTTATTTATCAATTAAAATACGTTTCGGTGTATTTTTCACCAGTTTTTCTAAAATAACATTGAAAAAAAAAATTCATTAATTTAAAAAACAATCACAGTTCGTCAACAGCCTCATCATATCACACATTAAAATACATCACAATTGCAACACTTTAAAACATTCTAAAATTAATTAGGCCTAACAGGTGATTAGTCAGGACAATCAAATTCGGAAAGAGACTAGAATTTTTTGTTCAGATACTTAAATATTTTTACTTACACGCGTAGCGTTGTTGCTGCTTTAAGCCTTGGCATACATTTGGAGTATTCATTTTGTCCATTTTGGACACAAAGCGAATAAAATATTGTTTATATTGATTTCTTTTACTTTCAGCTATTTTTCTTTGAATTCTGAGAAAATTATTTTTGGTTTGCAAAATTCTTCAATATACCGGGTGTTAGTTAATATTCTATGTTTATTTCATTTAATTAATGTATGATATACTGAGCTAAG